ACACTGGGTGTGAGTATATAACACAGAGGTCCCTGGTTCGATTTCTAAGTTTGTTATTGAAATAAATAATGACCTCTGTTGCATGTTGACAGATTACAGATAATGAAAGCAAAGCATGTTAGTAATAAGATTGCCAAACAAATGGTATATCATTAGTAACACGTTGTAGAAGGATATTCTACTGACACACTGTATATGAAGATTGTATTACAAAAGACATATGACGGTATAAATCTAGATTTTATTATTTTCATGGAAACGACACTAGCAAGTATAACACGGGATGACTATATGTTTTTATTCAGTCATTGATTATATCTTGAAAAAAAAATCAATATCATATCATTACGAAACCAATACCAGCAGCCAGCAGACATGACTTTAAACTCTCTCCTAAGTGCCATTTTCATCTTCTCAGAGAGGTAACATCATTGCAGTGTGGTTATGCCGAGAATTCTACGAGTGCCATTGCGTTATAAAATTAATCAAATTCAAATTTCCTTCTCGGTAGCGAATTTCGAAGATTGTATTACATTCATAGCATCCAAGAGAAGATCAATTATTATTTATGCTTGTTAGCTTGCTTGTTCGTTCCATTGTTGTATACCGTGTTCTGATTTAAGAACGTGTTATTTCTTACTTGGATTGACCAAGGTATACATGGCGGGTGTCGTAGATGAAGCAAAATACGCTTATTCTACCGGAACACCTGGCCTTACGATCCTTGTACTTTTTAAAGAGTCTCCGTGTGAAGTTGTTCATATTTTGTACCAGTTTTATTGAATTTGTGTTCGCATTACAATTGTGTTGACATGTTGGTATTTTCTTCTTGTTTTTATAGAGAATTCATCTCATGCCATGTTGGATTATTGCATGATGCATGAGCTTTACATTACCAAAGTCCACCAATTGCCCAGCCGTCGTATGAAAGTACAGTTGTACTATCTCGATGATTTTCCTCTACCGTTATACATTATAGGACTCTACACGCCACTGAAATTACAGACCTTAAAAACTGGATTATGACCGAGAGAATGACGACAATGGCTGAATGGTTTACGTGTCTGACAGTCTTTATCAATTGCCCTCTATCGCAAGATCTACGAGCAGGGAAGTCGTCAGGTAATGGCCACAAGTCCGTATTGTTTTCTCCGGAAACTTTTGCTTTCTTCCAACATCCAAACCTGGCACGTCCTTAAATCATTCGGCTATTCATAGGACGTAAAGCGACTATAAACATTCAAGGGAATGGCATCTACAATATGTATCATTACAAATTTAGAATTATATAAAGCAAAACAAAAAAAGCAAAATGCTCCATACTGCTGTTTCTTCGTTCTATGACTCGTCAGTGATCTTAAAGGCCTAAATTAGAAGGTCAAAGAAAGGTTCACTCTTTATTTTCTAAAGTGTGTCAATTGTTTTCTTTTTTATCTAGCTACCAAAGCGGAAGTTTACTGTTAATCAATAAAAGAATCATTCTAATTAATAAAGTCGTAATTTAAGTATTCTTGGAAGGTGCCTTTGGCTTTTAGGACAAATGCTAAACAGCACCCACGAAGTTCACAACCATATATAAGAACAGAATCGCATCGCTCATGTTTTCGAAAAGACAGTTTTGATTGAAAATACATCCAGAGTAAAAAGTCCCATAGAGAACCAACATCAATCACCCCTAACTTTTCAGGAGCAGATGTGTTACATTGATCATAAGCTCTTGAGTTCTAAGTTTACTTTTCTGCACTTTCATAAAAAGGTAGCAGTACACAGTTTCTCGGTGTGGCCATGCGAGATATTTTTGTTCATTAAATTACTCCATTATAGAGGTTTTGATTAGAATTTTTTTAAATCCTAGCTTAAACTGGTCTTGTCATGTCGAAGGGGTTTCATATTTGTCAAAATAATTTTTTTGCATTGTGACGAAGATTACTATTTGGACAGTCTCGAATCTGTGTCTACACACCAAAAGCTAGCTTTACAGGAAGTGGAGTTTTCATAGTGTTTATACGTGGTCATGTTGTGAAGGCGTTCCGAGTTGGAATTTGCTGAAATGTAAGTATTTTGTTACCATGACAATGTTGTTAATTTCAAGACAGTTGTTCGGAAATAAATTTCTTTATTTATGCATTTTTTTGAATCGGTACCCATGGCAATCACATGTCAAAATCAGAGAATTTTTTTTATTTACACAATCTCTCCTATCAATGTAATTTGATGTAGTTTACAAATATATATATGCTATACCTGTATATCTCAAACATAACCAATAATTTCAGGATTATGCAAATGAACGGCTGTAATAACATGCGCTAGCAAGCCCTTATGGTACTGTGTGTGTATACATTCAACTTGTTTAAATGTGGAGCTAAACACAAAAACGCGTATATAAACACAGCTGGTATTATAGTGTGAGGGTAACAAGAGGGTCAATTACTATAACTGAACCACACACGCCCGTACATTTCAGCAGAAATGGATGATAACTTATTATCTTAACATCAATTAATACGATCGAAATGATCTTTTGTGTTGGAAGTGGCGTCTTTTGTATATATACTACTGAGAAAGAGGGTTTCAAAGGGTGATTAAGCAACAAGTAATATATATTACAAGGATTCTTGTAAAGTTTAGGAGTTCACATGAAATGAGATATATCCTTATCAGTTACTTTCTCAAACATATTGCTGTATGTGTAATACATGATTGGCTAATTTCTTTATCTGTAGAAAGATTGCATTATGTTTAAGTTACGTCACGAATCCCTCGGTCTGAGAACAGAAAATGTACTTGTGTTCACAGATAAACTGATGTTCTATCTACAGACAGGATCATGTGATTATCGTAAAAATGGATTGTGTTTTTCAATGTGTGTCTTCTGTGTAATGTTTACAAATAACAATTACCACTGATGCGAAAAAACATATTTTACCAAAACGTGATACTGCAGTAGAATTTGACAACGCGATATTAAGTACATTTAGAGTTCAGGATTTTTCTAACCTATTATCGTTACATAGATATTATTCTGTTTGCTTAATTTTGCGAGCATTTCTAACATGTTTGTAGAAGGCTGCATTTTCTGATGTCTGATGCTTTCACAAAAACTTTGATATATACTGTAATATCCAATGTAAGGTATAAAATCCGGAATAAAGCACAAAGATACATTATCTTAAATCAAAGGAACACAAATACTATGTTATTTTCAAAATAATAATTCATGTTTGAATTCGAGAGTGAAATTGGGATTGTTAAACCAATGCAAAATGGAGAGATTCTAAATGCACTTTAACAAGCGTAATGACCTGACAGTGAAAGATGCTAACGTTAGAATGGTTCTGTAACATTTATACAGTTGTTACCAATCTGTGTTTAAAACGGATATATTTCCTTGTATATGAGACAACTTCAATCCACCAAATCATAAAAGAAATATTGGGCTTTTTAGCTGTGGCACAGAAAACTTCAGGTGTCGCTACACTAAGGAATACTTGACAATGATCGTTGATCTGTAAAAAAAAAATACATTTGACACAGACTATGATCAATGCAGGACAAGCTGATGCGTTTTGCTCCAGGCGTTGAATACAGTGAAAACAAAGTTCAGCTTAATATATACTAGTACTACACATGTAGCGGAGGAGTTCTCTCACATTTTCACAGGTGTTGGATTAACTGAAGTACCTCATTATAACCGAACAAACGGTACAAAAATGTCAATACTTTTAGAATATGTCCACAGCATCAGATATTAAGTTCCTATAGCTGTGGGGAACAGCCGCATCACGTTTACAATATATAATATCCTTTTCAATTTGTATATCGTTTAAATCTAATGTAACGACCATGTCACACGTGTTTTAATGTTTGATGCAAGATATCGTTTTGTTTGGTGAGGTTGAAGACATATAAAACTTCTATCTGGTTGGCTTGATCTACGACGGAAAAATTACACCCTTATTCAAATCTTAAATGGCCTTGATCCTTGAAAAATGCGTCATATATGTTAACTATGGACTGGAAACAGATACGGCACGATAATGTTGTGGAACACTTAATCTGTAAATTGTCTCGTCGACGTTTACAGGCATGAGATTTTCCTGTTTCATCCTCGGCGGGTTCCGATCGGCAAAATCTTGGGTGATTCCATATTTGCATCAAAACGATGTAAGGACGGAATTGGTCGAGGTGTGCCGAGTGGGTGTTTCCCTTGTTAGGACAATTGCATGACATCACAGTTACAATTCACAACGTCACGTCAATAATTCAACCACGTCGACGATACGAAACACCCTGCCTTGTCACACTGCTGCTGGACGGTAAGTCCCAGAAGTTGACCGTAACATGCATGCCTCGTTTTAATTCATTCGAATAGTGGTGCGGTTAAGAATATATATATTTACTTGACGGTATACTAAAATCACCAGCTATTTGAAATTTAATGAATTGTGGCGCAATTTTTTTGATCACTCTGGATTTTCCTCGGTCCCCTCCTGGGTTTAAAATTTAGATCCTTAGTATCATTGCCGAATCCTAAATAGATGTCTATTCGTTGTTTGGCACTACTAAAACTATAAAAAAAATGCTTTTCATTTTTGCACAATTTTCACAATTAAATCCAGAACTAGACACAGTATATGTATAGCTAAGTCGTGAACTCTCGGACAAACTAAGCTGAATACATTGAATTATCCCGCGTATAACTTGAGTATGCAAGTATTCATCACATATAATCCTACCTTGTAAAAAATCAGCTATGAAACAATGTCTGCTGTGCTTGATGATATCACTTTAAAGTTGAAATAATATCAGAAACATAGAGGCGTAAGCGGTTGAACACCAGTTACAGTCTCTCCAGGGATACAAGTCACCGTAATAGTGTGTACATATGTATGCTTGCTGCAGCCTGTCTTAATATGTCTAAGTGTTTTAGTGTTTCTCCAGCAGGTGAGTTTCTCCAGTACCAATACGGCGAGATATACGCCCTTCCTCAACAGCAGCTAAAAATCAACTTCCTCTTTATACAACAGACCTGAAAATAAATAAAAAAAATAATAAGAATATTTCTTTTTAATTTCAAAAGTATCAAACACATGATTCGAACCTCAACGTACAATTATATACATACAGACGACACGTCTTATTCTATACTAGACATTAGTATTACAATCCTTTTGATTGCCTATACGTGGACTTTCCCGGTTTGTTTGAGATTCCTAAACTCGTCCACTTGTTCCAACTAAACCTTAGTCAAAACTACTCATTACCATTTTAAATACTATAAAATTTGGATAACAGTTGTATTGTGATACTGTCTAGTATGTGGATTTGAAGGAACTCCAAAGAACTGTCACTGATCTTCATCTCCGTCTTTTAGAAATATTTCTTTTATAAGAAACTGAGTTTGATTATGTTGACATGCTGGTATTTTCTTGTTGTTACCGTAAAAAACCTCGATATATATACTGTAGAATACGACAGGGATATGATTCAACAAAGGACAGAGTTTTGGTTAAGCTTGGGCGCTTTTATTGTTCAATCCTTCAGATTCAAATCAATTGTCCCGTAGACTGTTGATATCGTTTACGAAAAATAAAAAAAAAAAAAAAGAAATCAGCTCGTGTAATTTTTTGGATTAAGACTAACCACGAAATGAACGAAAATGTATTCCCGACGAAAAATATTTATTTTACAATATGTAATGTGCAGCATTAGGGGCAACTGGTTTATGAGTAAGTATTCTGTAGGCTCAGGAATCAATCCCGACTCGTTGCTTCATGTCTCTTGTTTTAGCAATACCGTGACTAACCCTCGTTTGGAGCTGCAGCTATGTGATAGTGGACACTCAATGCATAGCGATGCTTCAGTGAGCAAAGACAGGAAGTGATATAAATATACTTCCATGCCGATGAAGATACACTGGAATGGGCACGCGTTACCAGTAAAAACAGCCGAGGAAACACCGATATGTCGAAAGAAACATATTTCAAACTCCACATCAACGACATGAGGACAAAATATGATTACAAGAGCCAATTACAAAGAACAACGAAAATGAGATCAAGTGTTCTTATCATATTCCTGATGGTTTCTTTATAATAACATGGCATTACTTACTTGGATTGACCAAAGTTTACACGATCTTCCTAACAATGTCTCTGCCATCAGCACGTGAATCTTTTTCACATTTACATACTGGACTCATACATGTAAACATGTTTTTGTTAAAATTTGATCAATATCGAAACGACGTGCTATTCATATGAAATAAGATATAATTCCGGCTTTTTTCAGGCGAGATAAATGAGTCTAGTCACTGTTGTTGCTATGTTTAGAAAAGAAATCCATTTACCACAGACGAAACCAGTTACAAGATATTTCGTCACCAACTCTGTATTTCATTTCGAGTAATATAGTGTTCTACAGTATTTAATATTTGTTAGGTTATTACATTATTCCTTATAGCTTCTTATTAAAATCTAACAAAAGAAAGCATACGATTTAAGGATAACTAGCTAAGGGAATATATTCCATGGTATTCAATCAGCTGCCTTATCGAAAAAGCAAGCCAAGGAATCATTTGATCTCTGCTGAAAGAGACAAACATTGAAACATAGAATTTTTGTGATGCTGATTAATATTTCGCTGAAGAAACACATCTATATCCAACCAAAATGATATAGAATAAGTTTCATTTTGGATAAGAACACGGATAAACATTGTTATGGAATCATAATTGCTCTGCGACGTGACTGAAGTATAAATGTTTACAGAGACAATAATACAAACCAATATCCTACATCATCTGTCTCGTATCACGGGTCGGAAATTATTACTATAGAACACGAATTACTGAGGAACAAGATCGTGGAGATTCTACTCTGTTTATTAAGGCTTCTCCAGGATTGTAGATCATTTCCTTTTCACGGCTAATAATATTTGCGATTTTACTCTCTCATAAGTGATTTTGACTGCAAAATATTTTCGCGAAATGAATGACTTTGAAATTATTTTTCAATATTTCGAATACTTCGGCAGACACTGTCAAAAGCTATTATATCAATTTCATGGAGTGTCATGTCAGTAGGTAATTTTTTCACTATGATTAATGTTTAAGGAGCGATACGCGAACATTATAAAAAGTCGTTTTTTGGTTTACTATAGAATGTCGTCTCACATTAAATAAATAATCCACAATTACCCGCATCACACATCACGAATCACACATCACGCATCACACATCACGCATCACACATCACACATCACAGACACGTGGTAAAAATATTCATTAAGAAGACACGCTCCTAACTCCATAATCTTAAATATAACAAGAGGGCCTGTATCGCTCACCTGGATCTTTATGACCAACAGTGCTATATATGCATATGTTCCACAGTAGATGCTTAAAGCAATATGACAAATTACTCCATATTGGTTCTGTCCCTTCATAGTCAGCCCCCTCATCTGTGCAATGTTGAATTGAGACAATCTTATGATGTTTCCAGTTAAGTATAATTGATAGCTTTCTTTTAAATCAAGGAAAGAAGATGTTCAAAATATATAGCAGAAAAACTCTTAGTTATAGCTGGACGGATGACCCAGGACAGCAGAAGCTTACTTGCCCTTTAGATCATTGTTTACAAACACAGATACAGCATATTTGAGACTTGCACAAGTCAACAATATATAGCAACAATTAAATATAAAGACAGGAAAAATTAAGGTACATGTAATTATAAACCACAATCCTAACTCAAAACCAATAATAAAACACTTCATGCATATCATCAGTGATGTCACCATGGTCAGTTAAGCCCCGGTTACTGTAGGCCTATAAACACTGCATAGCAAATGGGATCACCTTATTATTTATTTATTTATGCTATAATTATGAAGAACCTTGCAATTCCCTTTGCGATCATGTTTTCTGTATTTTAATGTTGTAAATAGAACGTTAGTAATTGGCTAACATTCAGTTTTTCACATTACTTAGCTCAAGCCTCTCAGACCTCCAGGGGCTTGGCCTAATCTATTTTTTGGAACAGTGTGACATCACTGTGAAAGGTCTTTAAAATTTATTTCAAATTATGCCAAGAAAATTCCCAGCCAAATATATTCCTTTAATAAGTCATTGGAAGGTTCTACATATTTGTATATAAGCCTTTGTGAAACTGTTTCTGACCAGAAGTTGTTAACGATTTTACCAAATTTAACCGCAGTGACCTTAAACATTTTTATAGGTAAAACTGTTTTTTCATACACTATGTGGGAACCATAAAGGGAACTTTTCGGCCAAATATTATGATTTTAGGCCTTTTGGTTAAGCAGAAGTTGTTCAAAGGTTTAACGCATTTGACCGTTGTGACCTTGAATATGGGTCAAGGTAATTTCTTTTAGCAAACTTTGTGGGACACCATAAGAGGAACATAGCCTAATATAATGATTCTAGGCCTTCCGGTATTTGGGGAGAAGTCGTTCAAAGGTTTTAACACATTTGACCTCTGTGATCTTGAATATGGGTAAAGGTCTTTTCTTTTCACAAACTATGTTAAGCTTCATCAAAGGAACCTTGCAGCCATATATAATGATTCTCGGCCTTCCAGTATTTTGGAAGAAGTCGTTTAAAGGTTTTACCATGTAACTGTGTAAACCAACGTCGCAGGATACCTGTTTGTAGGGGTTGTCTTATGGAGAAAGTCTCAGGAATTCACGACGAGAAGTCAAGCACTCTTTTGCAGAGCATAGCGTCAAATCCTACAAAAGCTGTTTACTCACAGCCAAGCTCGGCAACATATAATGTTCTAACTACAGTGTGGACAGACCTGATAAAATAGCCGATCGAATAGTGAGATGAAAAGGTACTGATTGATATGAGACATTCCAGTGAGATAATCAAATGAAGTTAATATTGGCAGTACCATGTAATTATTTGATCCAATCAGACAAGTGAATGAAACGTTTCGATAAAAAATTATATACAGAGATACATTGGAGTCAAATGATGGATTAACTTCATCATGCAGCTGTTTCGATCATATCAGACTCGTTAGTGATGATAGGGTTAAAGCGTCATAACTGACGCTTCTTGTGGTTTAAGGTACAAGTGCAGTTCCTGCAGTTGAAAAATGCAGAAAACTTGGCCACAATCGCTGAATTGACACACCCAAAAAATTATATTTGATGACGATGTCCACGAATGATTGGGCCACGGACGAAAGTTTTTATAGTGTCGTCACACTGAAATGTCATACTTTTGCACAGTATAATGACACCGTCTCTACGTTATATTACTGTACAACGACAGCGGTTCACCAATCCTGGTGCATCGAATCCAAAGCCAAGTGACAAGCAGAGATATTGTACATATACGGTGTACAACCTTGAAACTCTCCAATGCAGACTTTTAAGACATATTTTCAAACTTCAATAGAATACAAAAGAAAAAGAAAACAGAAAAACTAAGTAAGCAACAGACAATGGTATGTCTAAGAGGGCACCGAAAGCGGAAATGACGTAAAACGGTTTTTATCACAATGGGGAAGGGCATAAATAGAACGAAATGTCTGGCTAGTTGTATTTGAGTTTACATTCTCTCGACAGAACGAGATATTAAGGACGGAGTCTACTTAAAATACAGTCACTGACTGTCGCTTACATACTGAGATGTCATCAACTAGGCTCGGCATCATGACATCCCGCATGGTCACATTATACTGACATCTGTCTTACAAGTACTTGTACAATTCATTCCAAGCCGGGCGAAAAGGGAGTGTCACGAGTTATCATTTTTATGATATTTGTATGTAATGACTTGAAGGCAGACGATAGAATATATATCTGAAAGCAGTACCAAACACTGGTTTCCAACTCTACGTAATTACTTTCGAGGCTTCCTTAGAATTCCAAGACATGCAGTAGTGTGGTCAGCTGTTCATTGACGTAATTTCTTCTGTGTAAGCTCTCGAATTCACACACATCACTGTTTACACCTTTCACACTCCCACCGCGATCGACCAATTTCTTACTGGTAGTTTAATCTTCAGCAGTCAGAACGACATCGTTTGATCACTATATCATATACAGGAGTGACATTGAGTACACAGGCTTAAATTCAACCGAAAATTTTATTTTCTTAAGTCATTGCAAATATTGTACCATAGTTTGGTATCATATGAGAACGTCTACTGATTAAAATCGATTAAATGAAAGTGTGTATTGAACTGAAAACTAATTTCAATTACTACCACAACAAAGACTAGGTTTACGTGACAAAACCACACTAAAGTACAGTGGTGAAACGTTTCATATCAGATTTCTAAAACCAATCGTTCTTTTCCATTTGAATTCTTCTACACATTTTTTGTCGTATTTTGCTCTGCGGATGTTCCACATCCTGATATAAGGTAATTTTTATGATATACTAATTTCATTGAAATGGATTTGCTCTATTGTCGCGCTAATCAAACTGATATCCAAACTGTTTAAATGGATCCAAATGACTGTTAAACATTTCCTGTATAAATTCTCAAGGATACTGCGTTGCTTAGAAAGTCAACTCAGTAATAAATGAATTAGCAAATGAATAATTAACATTATCGTGTTTTTTTGTTTTTTGTTTTTTTTTTTATTTAAAAAATATTTTTTGTGTGACATAAATTAAACAAAACATGACAAAATCAATACTTTACTGTTGACAAGGCCATTACCTGCAATACATGCAGTCATGAAACAGGCAGCGTTTCCTGTGATCATGGCGCTGATCACTACAGACGATACATCAGATTTCCGGGACGGAGCCAGGGCACCAAGTGCTCCCAACATAATTCCAAGGGAACTGATGTTGGAAAATCCACACAATGCATACGTTGAAATAACAATCGATCTCTCCTGTATATAAAAGTAACACAAATTTTCATTGATTTTTTGAAACTGCACTTTACAGAACAATTCCAACAGAATGATCTCGAGTTTACGAAACAAAAATATATGTTGTTAAGATACATAGTCTCGGCAGAGCCCTACCGACACACCTACATATTAAGAACAATTACCAGTGTGAACTTACTTTATAGAAACATGTATATAATGAATTCTGTATACCTGTAGATACATTAGAGTTGTATGTTTTAGGAAAATAGTTATTCGTTTGTGAAAACTTTAAACACCACTTATAAAAATGAAGGACAGAAGTTGTATCCACTTGTAAAAATGAAGGACTGAAGTTGTATCCACTTTTTTCAGTATCATTGAAACGCAGTAAAATGATAAAATGAACTTGTTTATATTTAATTTAATAAGATATCACCAGCCAGTAAGAAAGGATTAAAGCAAGGATGCCATAATTCATGGAAAATGTTAACACCTACTGAAAGAGTCATTTTATACTGTAATGCGGGCTATTTTAAAAAACACACAAAGAATGCATACCTCGTTTCCTCAATAAGAGATCACACTTGTGAAATGTTTACTATGTGTGTGGGGGTATGGGGGTTGGTATTATTAAAATATTCGATTTTTTCCGATGTAATCAAATACAAAAACAAAATGTTCTCAGTATAAGGAGAACAAATACTGAAGTGATGTCATAAGCGTTTCGAGGTTATATGAAATATGTCTATATAAACTCATGTGTATGACATCCATACATAGATTTGTAGATTCAGCAGCGAGAGAGCAGAGAGCTTACCACTGTGCTACCTTGTGTTTGTATTTGTATGGAATGCAATACATGTACCAAGAAAAACAAAGATAACAATCATGTGGTCAGTATTTTAAGGGTGAGTTTCAGATATACATTAATGAATAATTACGCTAACATGGCAAAAAATCAAATATCTTATCTCCATCATATCAAACCCTGCAGCCCTATTCTTGCACTTTTAAAATCCCCCAAATAATACACTCTATACAAGTCTGACCGTTTATAGAGGAAACAAGGTATCTATTCGTTAGTATTTTTCTGACGTTAAATTTGAGATGGGTTTCTGAACCAAAGAAGTGATCAATCTGGAAATTGGAAAATGACTGTGAATATCGGGATAGCATAGAAACGTGACTGAAAGTGTATCAAACACGTACAAACAGTAACAAATAGATTTTACAACAAAAACAAAAGGCCCTAAAACTGACCCCTGTAATACCCGTTATGATATTTGTTACCAATCCGTGACGCGCTTACCTAATTTATATTTTTTGCCTATATCAATTATCATTAAATCAACGACGCTATAACAATACAAGCTAAGCGTGAAATTGTCAATCACTTTTTACAGATTCACAAACACCTCATCATCTAATAACAGTTTGAATCATCCTATACGTCTTGAATGAGATTGTGCTCATTCGTGGTCTTTTTTAGGGCATGAATGATTAAGATATTGTTGAAAAACAAACAATCATTTTCTCATATGGACATATTTCGTATTGTTTTGGTATGACAACATTTTGGTCTCTAACATTGCTTGGGTATTTTATTTGCGTAGTGGTGTAAACTGGGTTCGTTTGAAAGTGATTGGGAAAATGCACGTTATAACTGTACATTATTTGAACTTAACATACTTAGAGTCCAAATGAGATGACGTCAGAGATTATTTGGAAGGTAATTGAACTTTTTGATAACACCATTTCCCAGCCGTTTTTTAGTATTGAAACAACCTCACGTTTTCTCATTGACTGAGTATCGTTGGTCGAGTAGCGTTCGCCATTTGCACGGTTTTTCTTATTTCTTGCCAGAAATTGTCCAGGGCCTTGCTATTGTTTCAAAAGCTCTTGTTTAACGAAATGTAGTTCATTTAATGAGATATATTGAGAATACATGGTTAGTGTCCTAAGATATAGATATATTTTGGCGAGGATGAAGCAAGGGGCCAGCAAATTTTGTCTTTGGACATGTATTCTATTTATCCATCAACACTGTAAGTTAGGTCTACTCAATCTTTGTTAACCTGACGTTGACGTTACGCTGAATTGTGCATGATGATGTACGTCAAAACAATTACTCCGCAATTTTATGAATTTTCGTAAATAAACTTGTTTGTTACAACAAATAAAATCGCTTATTTAAGCAGCTATTTACATTTTCAAACGAAAACGTCTAAGTAAACCAGAGAATAATTCTGTAGAATTCATGCACGTGCTAAAGTACAGCTGTTTTCCGTCACAGCAGAACACAGCAAAAACAACACGTGGCAGGTGTATTCCGACGATGTCAGTGCCTGCTACAGGAAAAATAACACGCACAAATTTTCATCTGAATTCGTTAGGTTTAGTTCCCGATCACTTGATGTGTATCTTTTTATCAAAGTAATTTTACGGGATTCTGAGGTTTTTTTTATTTTGTTTTTGTTTTTGTTTTTTTTTTTTTTTTACTTTAACCCAAAACTGCATATAGATTATGATTTGTTAACGATATAACGTGTGCCAGCAGGATGCAGACATAATATATAACGACTCTTACTGCAATTCTAACTTTTTTCCACTTCAAAATCGGCGGGAAATCGACAGCATATTTATAAAGTACATGTACTAAATTTCTCGTAAAGATCCAATAAAACATTTCATTGATTTTTCCTTTCAGTCAAGATAACTTCTGACGGTTGAGATTGGAATAAAACTTCAAAAGAAATGAAAACGTTTACCACCACTTGAAAGCCTCCAGCTTACAGAAATAAAATTTAATGGTAAAACAAACACCCTTCGTTGATTCGTTCGTATATTTCTAAAGTAATATCATCTGTTATAATCAATATCCTCCAAATAACGAAATCTTACTTACCGACATGATTCCCTTTTGAAGGGTTATGTTCATTTCCGTGTACACAATGTCATCTCCAGAGAAGTACCATCCTATGACGTCACTTCCGTTGGAATCTAATGACGTCATGTTTTGCATTATTTGTTGATACCAAGTAAAATTAAGTTTGTTATTCATGTAAACAGAAAGGTCGGTGTAAGCCACTAGTTCATTTATGAATATTTTAGTGCCAATCATCTCAGCTACTTTCCGACAATCAGTAAGGTCTACTCCCATCATGGCAGCTATGGGCCAAAATATATAGGAACACAAAAACTGAAAGGAAAAAAATACAATATTGTATCAACTGCATGCAGTGAGAAGTAAAATAAGATAAAATTATTTTATTTATATATCTTCAAAAATAACCGGAGTAATACAGGAATATCACACACAGACTTTAATATTGAACGGACAATTTTCATTTTTGATTGACAATTAGTATTTTCACGAAGAGTACGAAAATTCGACGGCCATCTGTGTGGAAAGCTCAAACCACTTCGTCCCGTTACTGTATTTGCCCATACTGAATCATGTTCCGGTCTGTCCTTATTGTCATTAACATTACTGGATGACTATTCAACATAAGATGAACATTAATAGAGGTATATACAAAAACGGCTATCAGTTTATAGCGAACAAAAATGAAAAATATGATTGGGAGCCTTACATGATATTGAACCTTGCTACATATTTATGTCATCTCATCACAGAATTAGTGGTCCACAGTGTACACCATTACATACCAGTTAGATGATTTAATTCTATTACCTTGTAAAAAAATAAACAGTACCTAAGGTGTGTTCCGTAACAACTCATATCATAACGGAAGTAACTAACCTGAAATGTTAGTCGTTCGTGATTGGGTGGTTCTAGCCCTACTCTTGCCCCAAACCAATCCAGAGTAGCATTGACGAATTCAAGCATGGCAATGAATGCGATCATATTCACAGCAATGTTTGCTATGAGTTTAATCGACTGGGATGCTCCATTGGAGGCTGCCTCGATCACGTTTCTCTCTGGACTAGGTGGTGCCGAAACCGATGAATGTAAAAAAAAAAAAAAAAATGCAAAATAAGTTATTTTAACATCAGTTCAAGAAAGTTTGCCTCCTAACAATAATGTACACACATGTACCATAAGTAAGAATTTTTGGTCTCTCAGTTAGTGCTGTATTCTTTTTTGAAAAATGGCTCTTGTATGCATTGACAGTCTATTCAGTTTCCTAAGTTATATGAATTATGGCAAAGCCGTTAAGCAGCGAGGTTAATGTTATAACTTATGTATTTCTTCGTGGTAAAAAACCCATCAAAATATCTGGCGACAATAATAGCGAGCGCAGCGAGCGCTTTATGGTATTGTGTGTGTGTTTGATAATTCAACTCCAACAACCTGCCCATACGATCAACTTAAAACGGAAGTGTGGCAGGAACTTCATTACCTACAATACACTTGCCGCAGCACGCAATGAGAACTGCCGACCCGTTGAATGGATTAAAAATTATTTTGACCAACAAAATATCGTTTTAAGCTCTCATGTAGAAATGAAATCATACTAAAAGTCTTAAATATATCAGATGAATTTAACAAACATATACTTTAATGGTTTGAAACGTATATAACAAATATCTCGTTGGAAAATTGCAATTTTAACCATTCAAAATTTGAGCTCGATTGTGCTCCGATGTACCTGATCTCCGGTTTAATGTTCGGGACCTTTCGTCACTTTCCATGAACGAGACGATGTGTTTCTCGTTCACGGAAAGTGACGTAAGGTCCCGATTTGACGAAAAACTCGTCCATCTCCTAACTATATTAATTCTGCAAGATAAGGATGTTCTTTCGATAACTAATTATGATCATGTGTTTAGAAAATTTCCAGCAAACACTTATAAGGCACAATGATAAAATAACTATTAGTGGTGATTTTTTGTGGGGGGGAGAGGGGGTGTCCAGAATAATGCAGTTTATGCAATATATTGTGGCTTTCATAAGAATTTTATTTAAACATTTATATTTATATTGATTTTCTTAATTACAATGTATAACAGAATAGTCTCAACAGTGATTATAACTTTACCCTCTTTTTGCTACCAGGACAAGTTAAAATTGCTTAAAAAACCAAAGGTTCTGAAGCATTTTATGATTTGTTAATGAACAGAACGAACACTCTCAATAGCAAAGAGAAAAGAAAACGGCGGGAGAGAACATTGTGATTTTAATAATGAAAACTTGTTAAATATATATGCACCACCTTTACAAATCCGACTAAAACTATAATATGTTATCTTTCACCATATTTTGACAAAATCCTTTCTTATTTTAAAGCAAAGATGATAGAAAGTCCTCTCTGCAATATCTGTAACTCTAAAAGGGAAACTCTTATGCATTTATTTTGAAGATCTTTTTTATCAATTGTTATAGTCTAGATATGTTGTCAGTGACTTTTTTAATACATTTATTGTTATCATTGAAACCGATGACCCTCATCAAAATTTCAGTTTTTCTGGGCCAATACTCTGACAAGGTAATTGCTCAAAACTGTTTACACTTAATAAGCTAGTAGTCTCTTTTGCTATGGGGATGATTGCCATTTAAATACTTTTTCTGTTACCATGGAAACATACAGGCCAAACCACAAAACGTTTTTCAAACTAGTTATCTTAAACCATTCAAGGTAATTACCCGATACTCAAAACATTGTACAGGCATCAAGCTAGTACTCTAGTAGAAGTTCTCCATTTCAATACTTTGTATGGAACAATTAGAAATAACAAATAGAAATTAACTTGTTGTAATATTAATATATATATATATATATATATATATATATATATATATATGATTGTGTGTTTTTCTTTTAAACAGCTTCGCGAAGGGAAAGTGTCACATTTTGCGTTATCTTGTCGTCCTTGTTTTGTTCTTCTTATGGAAACTTTGTTATTTCAACTTATAAAAATCACACTTGTTGTAAGCAAGAGAGTGGTCTAAATTTGGGAGGAAACCTGTATCCTTTCTATCCCTTCGGGGAATCGAACCCCGAATGGCTAGGAAATAGACAAGTGTGTTACAACTGTGCCACCAAACCACCGCTTGATCATGGTGATACAATATTTTCTAGAAGAAGAAGATGTGTTGCTGCTGCTGCTGATGATGATATATTGGTACATTTGTATGTGTCGATGTTTTTTTTCAAATCTTGCGAAATATACAACAAATATATTAAAAAAATACGCTTCAGTGCAAACATGGATCAGGTTGTTCAAAATGTGCACTTTCTTGACCAACTTGCGCTCGTTTTTAGGCAGTGCCTACTTCATATTAATTAATAAATAATAAATAAATTTCATGTTTTGTAAATACGGTATTCCTTACTCGTTCATGGTGTTATATTATTGTCTATTTTATCATTTTGGACAATCTCGTTCAGCCAGACTCTTGTTGACTGCGCACGTGATGAACGTCTTGCTGAGTGATATTATTTGTTGCTATGACCGCCATGCTGTTATCCGCCACACAGCTGATAGTATGTGTGAAAATTTTCACTTTTTGTTTTCTTCGCACTTGTTATCTTTTGGGTTTCATTCACAAGCGCTACACTAGCTACAAGTATTTACACAACATCCTCTTCAGTTTGTACTTTTAAAGATATGACTTTGAACAGTTGCATAAGGAAGAGAAATATAACACAAATATTAATGTCAGTCTTTAAACTCTGTTTAGTGAACATGTTTAACGGGGTGTGTTAAAAGAATAGCCTGACATTTTATATTAAATCATAAAACATAGATTTCACTCCACATCATCATCATCATCATCATCATCATCATCATCATCATCATCACCACTACCACCACCACCACCACCACCATCATCATCATCATCATCATCATCACCACCACCACCACCATCACCACCACCACCACCATCATCATCATCATCATCATCATCATCATCATCACCATCATCATCACCACCACCATCATCATCATTATCAATACCTGTACATACCCGACTAGCGATCGCTATCAATCAGGGTGTTAGTTCTGATTAATTACTCTCTATAATGAAATGGCTCCAATAGTATCAGTAATATAATACCACAAAACCAAACCTATAATTCAATATTAGTAAAGTGACTATTTGGCCTATACTTAATCAATATTAAACTGATGTTAAAAGTTGTATAAAGCTGTATCAAGTATTAGGTAAAGGTTATCGCACACGGTCCTCTCTTCACTTGAGTTAACTATATTTCAAATGTTGACCAAAATAAAACGTTCGGCATAATGACGTCAACCAGCACGAAGCAGTTCCAGTCAAAGTTCACTGTGTCAGCCAATCAAAACACTTTAAGTGTTTAATCCACGTGTACTTTAAAATGTGTTGTTTGGCAACAGTTGTAATGTTTGATTAATGACCTTTAACAATTGTGGTAGAAATTTTGAATAAAAAGCGAAAACTAGTGATAACTTACGTGTAATATATAGTATCGATCAATTTTCTTCTGTGTGCAATTTACTGTGACGATTTCGCAATCAGAAGAAGTGAAAATTAGTCGTCGAGAATTAGAGAGACTAAATGGTCAGATTTCGTTATTTTTTCCTTTGCGTTTGAGTTATTATATCATAATTAGCAGAAAGTAAACATTTTCTAATATATATTAAAATGTTTAAAAAAAATTCAGTAATGAAATCAATATCTAACCCTTTAAGACGTGTTTATTTGACAAGTTTGCACGTCTGCACGTACACGTAAACCACAAACATCACAGTCACCTTTTATCCATCTGGTAGACTTGATCAGGATCAGCATGTGATCTCACTGTCTCTGGGTATATCAGTTTGGACATAGCTAAAGCAGCAGGTGCGGACATTACTGAGGCGGAAAGGAGGTGATTGGCGGGTACCTTTTAAAATATAGAATAGAACAAAAAAACATCACTAAAATAACGTCATTCTTGCTATAATAATTTATAGAGATATCAATATCAAACCGATCACATTCAACTACGATCGGTTCCAACTTCGAGCTGTAATTAATTAAGAAAACTCAAATTTTAGGAAGTAAATAAGCAAATCACATTAATTAGCTTTTTTTTTTGAATTCTTGAGTGTGAGCGTGTCTTGATTTATTTTAGATGAAAAGATATTTTGAAACCCAAAAAACAGAATGAAGATATTATCCGCAACACTCGGTGTCCTTGTGTAGGAGGAAGTCCATCTCTTACTCATCATCCATACATCTTAATTTAAATGCGAACCAAATCATTTGTAGATCAAATGAAATGCTGTTACGAAAGAACAGTTTCTGCAATTTCCGGACAATTCCATATAGTTAATGCCTCCCCTAACCTAATTGCTTTCATCTTCCTGCTGTGATAGAAAATCTTTTAGCGATTATATAGGGAAAACAGGCGAAGGAAGTAATGACCAGATGCTTACGGATTTTGCCTCTAGCGAAGGATGTTCTGAAAATGAAACAGACGACATCGAACCAAACATGTGGTCCTAACGAGTCTTTATGGTAGATATTTTGTGTGTGTCGTACTCTTATGGCAGCAAAAATTCTAAAGTGATGACACGTTTAACCTTAAGTTTATATAGACTAATCACCAACCTTTATTTACCTATACCGGCCTTACAGTATTAATTATATAGAGATCACATGGTACAATCTTGTTTATTGTTTATTATATAGAGATCAGAGAGTACAATCTTATTTCCTGTTTATTACATAGCGATCAGAGAGTACAATCTTATTTCCTGTTTATTACATAGCGATCAGAGAGTATAATCTTATTTCCTGTTTATTACATAGCGATCAGAGAGTACAATCTTATTTCCTGTTTATTACATAGCGATCAGAGAGTACAATCTTATTTCCTGTTTATTACATAGCGATCAGAGAGTACAATCTTATTTCCTGTTTATTACATAGCGATCAGAGAGTACAATCTTATTTCCTGTTTATTACATAGCGACCAGAGAGTACAATCTTATTTCCTGTTTATTACATAGCGATCAGAGAGTACAATCTTATTTCCTGTTTATTACATAGCGACCAGAGAGTACAATCTTATTTCCTGTTTATTACATAGCGATCAGAGAGTACAATCTTATTTCCTGTTTATTACATAGCGATCAGAGAGTACAATCTTATTTCCTGTTTATTACATAGCGATCAGAGAGTACAATCTTATTTCCTGTTTATTACATAGCGATCAGAGAGTACAATCTTATTTCCTGTTTATTACATAGCGATCAGAGAGTACAATCTTATTTCCTGTTTATTATATAACGATCAGAGAGTACAATCTTATTTCCTGTTTATTACATAGCGATCAGAGAGTACAATCTTATTTCCTGTTTATTACATAGCGATCAGAGAGTACAATCTTATTTCCTGTTTATTACATAGCGATCAGAGAGTACAATCTTATTTCCTGTTTATTACATAGCGATCAGAGAGTACAATCTTATTTCCTGTTTATTATATAACGATCAGAGAGTACAATCTTATTTCCTGTTTATTACATAGCGATCAGAGAGTACAATCTTATTTCCTGTTTATTATATAGCGACCAGAGAGTACAATCTTATTTCCTGTTTATTATATAACGATCAGAGAGTACATTCTTATTTCCTGTTTATTAAATAGCGATCAGACAATACAATGTTATTTCGTATTTATCATATTGAGACCAGACAATGCAATATTATTTCGTCTTTGCTTTATGCGATCACAGTGTACAATCCGTTGTCCTATTGTAATATCTCATGGTTTTAAGGAGCCATATTGCTGAGTGAAGTAAGTCCTCCAAGTATGACCCATCCACATAACTAGTCCCTCTGTACATTATATATGATATCTTGTGTTTGAGTTTCAATAAACAATTAATATACAAATACCGACATATAGATAGAATTTCCTTCAAATAAAAATTCGATGAAACCAGGGCAATATATGAACAAAACGGAAAGACTTACACAGAGAATCCTGAAAAAGTACAAGATAAAAAAAGAGAGATCCGAACGGCTATGTGCAGACGACACCCACCATGCAAGTCTTGATCAATCCAGTAATGTCATGTTTTCAAAAGAGAACAAGGTTAACAACACCAGATCTGCTTACAAACATCAACAATTTCATAAAGCGAGGAGGTTAAACTAACAAATTCTTACTTTCTATCTATATATCTTAACAAACAAAATTCGGCTCCTTAATACATGGCCCACTTATAGGAATGACAGTTTACTGAATATTGAACAATTTCGCAATGAAGATGGTTTGAAGGTAATCCAATTTCTAGCTATATAATTACGCTGACGAAGCACGTCACAATATTTAACAATATCACGAAACACAATATCGTTACAAATGTTCAATGAAAGCATATTATGCCGAAAGATAGACAAAGGAAATCTTGTAATTGAAAAAGATTCAAATAGGAAATTTCAATAGTGGATGGTTGTAATATATGTGACATTGAGTTACCTATATTATGGCGAGGATTTCTGATATTGTCAGGCAATTTGATTGTATTATTTTACTTCTTTATAATACTTCATTATAAGTTGTATTTTATATTCTCCAAATTAAACATAATGCAGTTTAAAGACATGTAAAATTGATCACCCTCATCAACAGCCTCTCCTTTTTATGACGGAACAAATCAATTTTGCATTTTCATAATCCAATTTGATAAGAAATGCGTATTTCAAAGTTTCTCGTTAATTTGAAACTCATAACGCTTTTTCGAACATCTTTTGTTCTCAACAGTTAATATTCACCAGAACTAATTTTAAAAAACACACACATTAGAATAAAGCCTTTCGCTCACGTTTAACAGAATATACGCAGCCATTACAGTTCCAGCAATTGTTGCGAAACCTCCTGTTAATACGGCATGTAACTCCGAGTTCGTCATTTCCGGTAGAAACGGCTTGATTAGTAAAGGAGCCTCACTCTGAAAACGGAAATATCGGATGTGTTAAAAGTTATACAACCGAACTATGTGACGATATTAATGAGTTTCATATCCCTAGATTTTCATTGATTTCATAAATTATAAACTCCCCAAACTTGAAAGACCAAGAAAATCGACCCCAATGAAAATATTATGAATTTACATTATACAATTCTAGTATTTGATGATCTGTTGTTGCTGTCCTAATTATCGACAATTGAGGTTTGAATTGTTTCAAGGTTTGAATATCAACCTTGATTTCTATTATCAGGTATCCCTGAGTTGACTTAATAAAGCAATCTTGATGTATTTCGAAGTGTGCGTGCTCAGATTTATAAAGACCAGCGGAAGGTTTGATTAATAAAAAAATCATATTACTTGTACATTTCTCTCCCTCCCTCACCCCCCCCCCCTCTCTCTCTCTCTCTCTCTCTCTCTCTCTCCCTCCCTTCTTCTCTCTCCTTCCCTTCCTTCCTACCCCCCTCTCTCTCTTGTTTTTAATTGTATGCAGTTCACTAAACATTTTACCCAGAAAGGTCAATATCTATGTATAGTTGAAATATCACAGGAGAGTGGGTTACTAATGTTGTACTAACATGTGCCCAATCCTATTGTCTTTTTCTTGGTAATGAAATATTTCTAAACTAAACTGATTCTGTTATGACATAACATTAACAGACATGAAGCTAATTTTCACGTAAAATTAGCGAGTTAGCGGTATCACCCACAAAAGGATGCCTTTTATGTGAAAATTTCCTACCTTTAAATGACGAAATAACGCCTGATAGCAAGACAGATAGTTAACAGGGATTTTAACTGTTTATAAGAAATACTTTCCGTAAAAGTACACTACTATACTTGATAAGACAATTAAGCCATTATCTTGCTATTAATTGTCAGGAGGATTAATGTAGAAAATTCAGTTGTTTTTCTAGAACCGGACGTCTTGAAAAAATAAAAATCATTATTTAGAGAGTCGGAGTTCATGAATGATTAAATATTTCATAATTTTAATTGAAAACATAAATATGGTTTTTATTTGTTTAACTATTTTTTTAAATAGCGTCGTACATATAAAAAGTCTTCATATTAAATCTAAATAGCCAGTGAAAACTCGCTTACCGACAGGTGATCTACTTTGTCACAATGAGGATGAGTTATAACGGTGGATGTAGTATGACGTTTGTAAGATGACCTAGTTAAGCGTCTGACACTGACAGCGTTTGAATCCCGTGTTCTATAAAACCTGATCATGAGGCTTATCTTCCGACATATTTGTCAACTGGCATTTTACTTCTTGGATGACGCGGGAAATGTCAAAAGGTCAAAAGGTCAGCTTGACAGTTGTTCAGTCCGGCTACTCTATTTTACCTAAGTGTACAATTCCAGACACTTTTGTAACGTTGTTTTATTTTTAATTTTATGTTTTCAGTTGTTTGTTACAAAGGACCTGATCTATTACACCCGCTCTGATCCAGCATAATCTGATTCAGCATTAACTCATATTGATTCTAAATAAATCTTTGTATATTGCCTGGAATGATCTCTCGAGAGATCGATTGATATCGAACTGCCAGTTGTTGAGATGTTTACTAGATTTTAACAACGTCTCTGTCACAGTTGCGAATTAATGACGTCTGATGTTACTACCATGTTATTGTTCTTATTTCCCATGGATCATTTCAATTTCATCAAATATCCTGTCAAGAGTTAGAAACAGATCAACACAAAATCTGCGTCTTCTTTCTTTTTTTAATTTCAATGGTCTCCGTGTTTTTTCTAGTCAGGGCTTGTGATCTGTATGGTTGGTGATTTATATGGTTGGTGATCTGTATGGTTGGTGATATGTATGGTTGGTGATCTGTATGGTTGGTGATATATATGGTGGGTGATCTATATGGTTGGTGATCTGTATGGTTGGTGATCTGTATGGTTGGTGATCTATATGGTTGGTGATATATATGGTGGGTGATCTATATGGTTGGTGATCTATATGGTGGGTGATCTGTATGGTTGGTGATCTATATGGTTGGTGATCTGTATGGTGGGTGATCTGTATGGTTGGTGATCTGTATGGTTGGTGATCTATATGGTTGGTGATCTGTATGGTTGATGATCTGTATGGTTGGTGATCTATATGGTTGGTGATCTGTATGGTTGTTGATCTATATGGTTGGTGATCTGTATGGTTGGTGATCTATATGGTTGGTCATCTATATAATTGTTGATCGATATGGTTGGTGATCTATATGGTTGGTGATCCGTATGGTTGGTGATCTGTATGGTTGGTGATCTATATGGTTGGTCATCTATATGATTGTTGATCGATATGGTTGGTGATCTATATGGTTGGTGATCCGTATGGTTGGTGATCTGTATGGTTGGTGATCTATATGGTTGGTCATCTATATGATTGTTGATCGATATGGTTGGTGATCTATATGGTTAGTGATATGTATGGTTGGTGATCTGTATGGTTGGTGATCTATATGGTCGGTGATCTATATGGTTGGTGATCTGTATGGTTGGTGATCTGTATGGTAGGTGATCTGTATGGTTGGTGATCTATACGGTTGGTGATCTGTATGGTTGGTGATAGGTATGGTTGGTGATCTGTATGGTTGGTGATCTATATGGTTGGTGATATGTATGGCTGGTGATCTATATGGTTAGTGATCTATATGGTTGGTGATATGTATGGTTGGTGATCTGTATGGTTGGTGATCTATATGGTTGGTGATCTGAATGGTTGGTTATCTATATGGTTGGTGATCTGAATGGTTGGTGATCTATATGGTTGGTGATCTATATGATTGGTGATCTATATGGTGGGTGATCTATATGGTTGGTGATCTATATGGTTGGTGATCTGTATGGTTGGTGATCTGTATGGTTGGTGATCTATATGGTTGGTGATATGTATGGTTGGTGATCTATATGGTTGGTTATCTGTATGGTTGGTGATCTATATGGTGGGTGATCTGTATGGTTGGTGATCTATATGGTGGGTGATCTGTATGGTTGGTGATCTATATGGTTGGTTATCTGTATGGTTGGTGATCTGTATGGCTTGTGATATGTATGGCTTGTGATCTGTATGTCAAACATCCTGGGTGAAGAGTTCTTGTGTCATTCGACGTTTAATGTCTCGAACTTATGTTACCGTTGACAACAATTAAAGCGTTTCGTTACCTTTCAGACGCCGCACGTGATTTCGACAGTACAAGTACAACATCGATAAATACTGATACGCTGACTCGATGCACTGTACCTCTGTTTTTATAGACAATACTAATTTATATTAGATACAAAGCACAGTTTATATTTTATCATCCTGTTGCCGCAGTAAATCCTCTGTCACAGGTGTTTGATATTTACGTGTCCAATAAAAATGTTGGCAGCTGCGTTAAGCGACTCGGTGGGCGAGGTGCCTAGAGTGGAAGCCATTAACCGGGCGATTTTACAGATGATAAACTGCATGGCTCCTAAGTAGTAAAGGACGGAGACAGTCGTGCTGAAAAACACCACCACTGTCAGAGCCTGCAAGAAGATAAGATATATACATGCATAAACGTTTTTCTTTTAAATCACAATAATTTTTTGAAATGTATTGACATGGTAAGGTACCTTCGAACCAAAACTGATTGTTTTATTCTAATTCTTATAATCTGTTGACGTGAATTTATTGCAAAATAATGATTTTGCTTTCGACGTTTAAAGTGTATCTTGCCCTAGAACGCAGATTAAAGTTACGAAAATAGATACATTGTATGTTTTCATGATTTGAAGCGTGCGTATTTCGAAGTGTTGAGGCGGTGAAAATTGATGTTATATGTCAGTGGATTGAACGAAAGACACAAAAAAATTTAGCAGCTATACAAAAGATACAGATTTACAACATATCCCAACAATAAATCATTTGTTTTGCCCTTTTAGGCATAATCAGCCATTCTAGGACCTAGATTCATAGAAGGTGACTGAGCGTAATGCGTGTCAGCGGAGTGTCGATTATAAAATGTCCTTATCATGAGGATTAAGGTTACCTCGGGAAAGGATTATATTGGCTTAGAAATAATGTAGACGTTAAGGTTATATCGAAGCTGAGATAAGGCTTCTGATGGAGACTCTACTCTCTCCAATTTCGAATTGTTTGAACATTATCTAATTGTTGTCTGTGCCGTCTTTTATCTTTGCAATGCCACGTGTCCGTGTATCTGTCTAGAACGAAACATCTTTCACGTTTTTATGTATCATGAAACATACATTTTGACACTATAAATATAATGTTATATGTCTTGTGTGTCTTAGAAACAATGAAAATTGTGGGTTTAAAATATATTACTCTGGTGGTCGATTTCTTGTTTGTGATGATCATAAAAAGTATCGATTATCAGTTAGAAATAATGGAATGAATCGAACCAATGATTAAACGAATAATACATAGATTTGTTTATTCATTCTGTCTCCACTCCCCTCCCCGTGTTTTCTATCAATTCAGATGATTTTAAGCAAGTATTTTGACTTTAAAATAAAATATTCCAAATTAAGATGGATAAACCTCGTGTACAAGACTAAACACGATCGTACCTTAAAAGCAAAAAAATGGTCCGTGTATTTCTCCCCGAAAACGAATATCGAGCCTTTGTCGGTGTAGGACAGGAATTCATACACTCGCTCACCAAGCCATTTAAATGCAAGGAATCCGAACCGCCATCGAAGGATGAGAAGGGCGAATAGGAATTGAAGGACGAGACCCCAAAATACAGGACGCCACTTAACCTGTAGAAACAAGCAGCAAAATCGTTGTAGATATAAATAAAACTTTGATGTGACTCTGCTTGTTTTTATGTTGTTTAACATGATGTTAAAGCTTGATAACATTGATTGCTTTCTGTGGTATCGTGTTATCATTCAAAAATTTCTTTCAAATTAAGATTTGCGAAACATGAAAGAAAAAACTGGGTCATGCATGCAGAAATTTATTTTTTCTTTCTAACGAATTTCTTTCTTTCTGATAGTGTACATGTTTTTCTGGTATTTTACATGTGTTTCAACAAAAGCAACGTATCTTACTCTGGCTGGATCATTGGAAAAGACAAAGAGGATGACCACAAAAAAGACAATTCCAGTCAAGGACGTAAGATTTCTTGGCGTTTCCATGGCGATGTCCATTATTAGGTAAATAACAATAAACAAGGCCATACCAATGGCAACAGGCATCCGAAGTCTGAAGATAAAAGTTATCAACGAGTCAATATCAGACAATCATCAAGGTTAGAGAACGGATGTGTCGCTATGTATATAAATGATAGCGGTTGTGTCGCTATGTATATAAATGATAGCGGTTGTGTCGCTATGTATATAAATGATAGAGGTTGTGTCGCTATGTATATAAATGATAGCGGTTATGTCGTTATGTATATAAATGATAGCGGTTGTATCGCTATGTATATAAATGATACTACTGAGATAATAAACCTTGAATGATAAATATATCTGTTTATCTAACAGAGAACATAGGGAGATACAAAAAGACATAATCCAAAAACTCATCAGTTCATAACATCATCATAACATTTAGATACTGATTAGGGAAATAAAACTGACATACTAAATATGTACAATAAACATACAGACATCAACAGGTACTGAAATAGGCATCCTATTATTATAGATCCTTTAGAGGGTAGATAACGAGGGAGCTTAACAGGCACGTTTTCACTTTTTTAAAGGATACTTAGTGATTTTCTATAAAATGTATAAATATATTTCACGAGTGTAACATATATATATTTCACACGGGTGCGAAGAACGTGTGAAAAACATAAATATATGTTGTCATTCGAGTGAAATAACTATGATATTTAAAGGGAAACCATTAGATTTTATTCAATAACATTTTCAAGAAACAACGTCACGTCAGATTGATGGCCGTTACGCTTGACAAGACGACGGTGACATTATGAGTAGACTGCCTGACTTGGTACTCCGATATTTTGTACTGTTACTTGGTAAGAATCGATTACAAAACCATATATACACCAGCATGAAGAAAAAACGAAATAAGCGCGGTGAAAATTGGATAGAAACTCAACTTTCGCTTCAATTGCGTCCGGACAGAAAAATCGACGAACTTCGAAGTAATAACTAGAAAACACCGCTCAGACTGGTCAAACTTTCAAAAGTCGTATCATCTCTAGAAAACCTCGCTCAAACTGGTCAAACTTTCAATAGTTGAATCGCTTCTGATCGCAGGCCGATGGTTTTTCTCCGGGAACTCCGTCTTCCCTCCATCATCCAAACCTGGTTAGTCCTTAAATGACCATATAGCTATTAATGGGACTTAAAACAACAATCAACAAACCGAAATTTAACTTACGCATCGAGCATCCTCTGTGACTTGTTCCTGTCCATACAGAAACCAAAACAGCAGTTGTTACCATCAAACCGTCTGCACAGATACTTCCCAGCGAAGAACATGGTGACCAACACGGTACACACAAGGAGCCGAATCGAACCTTCATCTCCAAACTTGTGGAACATTGCGTACGAGAAGTAAACGAAATAGGCCATCACTACGAAGCCGTAGATAAGCCTCCAGCACAAGTCGTACCATTTCTGGTATAAATCAGTCAGGGTAGACTGGACGGCTTTTACACATGATCTCTTGTATCCTGATGTCCGCTGGGAGGACATTGGTATATCAATGGTGACATCTATCTCCTGAATAAAAAAATGGTATCAGTGACAGAAAAATGGAGCTGATATCAGGGGCGGATTTAGAGGGGGGCGTGGGGGGCGCACGCCCCCCCCTAAAATTGGCAGAGTAAGGGTGAGTTACGAAGTATACTGGATGGTCTTGGTCGTATGTTATGACTATCACTGTTCTAAACAGCTATAGATGACTTAAGTTGGGCTAATTTTCAAGTATACAGTAACTTTATTATAGTTGATCACATAACGACAGAAAGAGTTATCGCGATTATAGGAACTCTTTCGAAAATGAAGGCCATATTAGAGCAAAATGTGTCATTGTTGACATAGTATGAAACTGTAACGACGGTACAGTAGTCTCGAATATGTTTCAAAAGAAAATTGAATGTTTTTTAAAAAGGCGAGAGTAAGTATTTATGCCAAATAATTTCTTTAACTGTCACATGAACTGTAGACAAGCAGGCCTTGGCTTGCCCCCCCCCCCCCCCCCCCCCCCAACCCCTCCCATCGCCCCCGCGGTGGATGATCATACACACTTTTGTAGTAGCCTTGTGTCACCGGTTATGGCGCACTTAAGAAACGATCTTCGATTACAATTTCATTTTGCAGGATTTTGAACTAAAAACTGTTTGGATATATTGAAACATGTGTGTACTATAAAATGCATTCAACAAAACAGCTGTTGAAGCCTACAAATTTCTTAAAACAATTTTCTAAATTTTAACGAAAATTCGATCACCCGTAATGGCCGGCATGTATTTTGGCGCAGCGGCCGTCTTTCCTTCTGCAAATTTTGGGAAATAGGCTAAAATTTGGAATAGTTTTAACTGCCTAGAGAACCTCCAGAAAAGACATGAATTTTCTCCGCATTCTAGCTAAAATTGGTAACACTTTTCCGGCTTTGCACATAAAGAGTGTTAGGTGTTGGCATGTGTTGCATTTAAAAATTTAAAATACATGTAATTCTTGAAATACATAGCCCAAAACGACATTTCTTTGTCATTCAAGTACCTTAAATTATCATAACTTTAATGTTGTAAGTAATTAACCCCTACTCCCAACCGAAAACGTACATAAAAATTTTACATGAGTTTCCATTTAATATGTGAATTTATGAAACGAGTCTAGATATTTTTTTATTGGGGCTCACAAATATTAAAAATTCGAAACGAGTTTCCTAAAATACGTATTAAATGGAAACTCGTGTAAGATTCTTTTTATCACGTGACACGATCAACCACTCGGGCAAATATTGCAAAAATACTATTGATTCAAAATCTCCTATCTCCATTGTGTCGTCGTAGTAAAATTGACGTATTTTTTGTATAAGAAATTACGTCACTAAAAGTTAAATAATAACATTATATGATCTAGCAGAACATAAGAAACCAGGATATTTGCTGAATATCAAAGTAATCATGAGATAAATAGAGGTTACACAACGAGTAGTTGTTTTTGTATATGGTATTTCTTTCACTCGAGTTAGTTATTTTTCAAAAGTTACAAAAAAACACGAGCTTTAGCGATTGTATTTTGTAACTTTTGAAAAATAACTAACGAGAATGAAAAAATACTATATACAACAACCACGAGTATGTGTAACCTGTTTCTACCATAACCTAACTAAAAACACTGGTTTCGGTCATAAAACACACTGAGAGATGAGGTCGCAGTGCAAAGTTCAAGTTCCTGACGTCATAATGTTATTTTGACCAATGAAATGCTACGAATGTGTTATAACAGCATTCGTGTTTACACCATTTTTTTTCATGAAATAACTGTGCAAGTTATGGTAGAAAGTAAAATATTGAACAGTATTTGACACGCGGAAATCTGACTTTACTAAAATCTTTGCACATTCATGATTCACGTTAAGATATTTTTTGTGTGTGTCAGAGTGATATTGTAGCAAACAATATAATATTAAAAGATTTGGTCTTATCATCCACAAAATATTCGTGAATCTTCAGTTTGGCAAAAAAAAACCCACTTTTCATTACAGTTTTGAGTTAATGTATAATAGTCTACTACTACTTTAGTTAGTAGAACAAGATTATTACAAGTTAGCCTACAGTATATGTACGAACTGTAGTATTTATTCGTCTAAAGACTTTCTGCTTGATTCCCTTATATTAAAGTCAATCAGTCTGTCACGCTTCAGTTTTTATGACTACTATTTCTAATTAGTCGTGTAATAACGGATTCCATTGACACATGGCATGTACTGTAAAATAACATATTTCTGAGGGGTCTATTTTCGTGATTATCAAATCGGTTCGCTTTCATGATTGAAACATGATTTTGTACAAGTATAATTTGATAATTCGTAGGCATATGAATTCGTGGATTTAAGGGATATTCCGTGAAAGTTAGATTTTTTTAGATGCTGTTTTATAAAAATTGTACAGAAGTATCTACTTATGTTCTTATGGAAATCGTACGCCTCAATTTTCCATATAAACCAACTTACGATATTTAATTTGTGGAAATTCTATATAGATCTAGTTAGATCGATTTGCAAATGATTCCGATTGCTTCACTACACGAATGCACCCTCCTAATACACAAAAACAAATATGGCGACGTGTTCGATTCAATCCAAATTATTGCAGTTGAATAAAACGGGAGAAAATAGTCGCTTTCAAGTTTACTTACCTTGTCGCTTGCTTGGTCTTGGACATCACGTTTCTAGTTTCGTTTTCAAAATCATCACGTGAAAAATGTTCTGTATTTAAATTGGCCAAAGGTATTTTCCGTATAAAGTTTGGTTGTCAAACTGATCAAAAAAAAAATATTTCGATGGTGACATTTCTGTAAACAGTCATAAGGAAGGCTTCTTAAAAGATACAGAGAATCCAGAAATTTGCAACTTGCCCGGAATATCCCTTTAATGTACGTACAAAATTAACGACAGCTAAATCCCAACAGAAATTCATGAAATTTACAGTAGATTTGAGGAATATCATGTCAAGTTCAGCTCTTGATTCTGTAAGAGAGAATTGTTCCGATGTCGTCAGGGGCATACATTGCCACTTAAAATGCTTGCTTTGGCCGAATTGAGTTTTACAAATTTTTTTCTTTAGGTTGATATGCAGAGGCACAAAGCATCAAGGACAACTTGATCATGGAGGAAGTCAATGTTGTTGTATTGCTTTCACCTACCTAACTGCTGATTCAATACCTTCAACACCTAACGAAATTGACGACCTTTTGGAAAAAGGAACTGCCCTTTATAGAAAGCAGTGTGCTGGAGGAGGGTATATGCTTGTCACAGAATTGGCAGGAGCAATAAATACCGACGATAAAACAATACAAGTTTCTCTTCTGGAACCAAAATGTGGTCTTACAAATCAGAAGTATGATAACACTGGTAACCTTACGTACAACTTAAATTCTGCTGTAAGGCAAACATTTGCAGAAACAGATACTGCTTTCCTTACAGTGTGTGGCTCGACCATTGGTATTAGGTCCTGGGAAGGAAAATACTTCGTGATGGATTCTCACAGCCGTAATGAACAGGGTCTATGTGTTCCCGATGGTAAAGCGGTCGTGATAAAAACAACATCTTTGCCAGCATTGGGCGACTATATCACAGACATGGCCAACTCACTGTCATCATTACAAAATGTACAATTTGAACTTACTGGTGCTCATTTTGAGATTAGTCTCAACCAGCAGTCTCCTTTGCTGTCCGTCAGTTCATCCGAAAATCCGTCTTCTAGGGCAGATCCTAATTCCCTCGCATCGACTTCTGATTATGTACTTTGTGATATTTGCAAGACTGATGTTCCCGGTGAGACTGGTGTACCCGGGGAAACTGGTGTTCTTCGTGCTGAAACTGGTGTTCTTGGTGAGACTGATGTCCTTGGTGAATCTGGTGTACCCGGTGAGACTGGTGAGGCTGGTGTACTTGGGGAGACTGGTGTATCTGAATCTGTAAATAATCAACAGATACAGGAAGATTTCGAAATGGGTCTCGGTACCTCTGATGCTTGTTCACCGCTTCTTTCATCCTTTGACATAGCAAATGTTATTGAAGAACCTGATAATCTGTCAGATGATATTAAGTTCTCATTGATATCAAACAGAATTCCTCATGATAATTATAGGTTTCCTTCACGTATATACAAAGATAAAAGGAGGAAAAGCGGCGTCATACACCGTCGATGCAAGCAAGAGTGGATGAAAACCTTTGTATTCCTGTGTTATTCAGAATCAAAGGACGGTCTGTATTGTTTAGGGTGTTGTCTTTTCCCTGATACCTCACATAGACGTCCAAAAAAACTGATTTCAGAACCTTACTTTAACTGGAAAGATGCTGTGGAAGACATGAAAGAGCATTCGACTTGTGTGTATCATTTGTCGTCTATGGCAAAACTGAATTCTTTCATTGCAGCGTATAAGGACCCAAGTCAGAGAATAGACTTTTCCATTAGAACTGTAGAAAAAGAAAGATTAAAGAAGAACAGGCAAATTTTGTCTTCCATAATCAAGACACTTATATTCTGCGGGAGACAAGGCATAGCTTTAAGAGGCCATCGAGACGACGAATCAAACGGAGAAAACAGTTTAAATATGGGGAATTTGATTCTACAGGAGCATCTTCGATCATGTGCCAAAAATGCATCATACATTTCAAAAACTTCTCAGAATGAACTTCTTACATGTGTGAAAATATACATTCAGGAAGAGATTGTCAAACAAATAAATGCACAACCCATTGGCCCCCATTACGGTATTCAATGTGACGAAGTCACAGATGCTAG